AACTTTAACGTTAGTACCCAACAATCAGCGCAATAGCTCCGGCCCTTTTGCAAACAAATCGAAATACGCATGCGCAAACCCATAAACAACATACATTGAGCACGTAAAATCCTGAAATTAACATACTCCGCAACGCAAGATGAATAAATTATGACGTCATCTGTTAACGTTAAGATTAATGTCGAGCGGCGAAAACTGCCTATTAAGTTATGCATACCTGAAGAGGAGCCTTGTGAAGTAGAAGAAGCCGAAGAATGTGATCTCGGTGCCTCTAGTGGAGGGGTTGTCATCTAAAAGAAATTGAAAGCCATAATTCTTGTTACATGCTATATAATTATCTGCTTGAAGAACAGAAAAATAATAATAATAATGATCATTTATTGTACACTTAATTAATTTCTTGTATTTACTTAATATTTTTTTAAAAATCTGTTGCAATTGAATTCTGTTAAAAGGAAGTGAATAAGTGTTGATTTGTTATTTATTTATTTATTTACTTATTCTCAACTTTTAACCACTGGTCTCCCATTGGGCCCTGGATGAATAAATGAATGAAATATCACAATAACCAACCTATTATAGGCAGTGTTCTTCCAAATGAAAAATCTTTACTGGTTAATTTGACCATGAAAATTCAGCTATGCGCGCAGAGGCATTACCCGTTTTGACTGGGGTTCAATGACATGAAGAAACAACAACATTCATACCTTAGGCATAAACTGGAATGATGTTTATTAAAAGAGTGCCAATCTAGACTACCTAGGCCTAATCAGTAATTTTTTTTTATTTTAAAACTCAAAACTTTACTGGTTGGCCAGTAATTTGTACCGGTAAAATTGATGGCTAAAATGGCTTCAACTGTATAGGGATGCTACTGTATACAACCATTGATAAAACAGACTCCAGTTTAGAACAACGAAATGATCAATGTACCCTTATAGGGTTCGGAGGGGTCATAAGAAAGTTAAGTTTTGCACTCTTTAAAATTAAGAACAAAAATAACCAGGACACATTGGGCATTTCCGCTATCCCCCTTGGAACATACGCAAAAACGTATGTTTGTGGGACAACATGTGTTTGTAGGACATGTGTGTATTCCTAGCCCTGTTGTGATTGGTCAGTTGTTAAGTTTGATTGACACTCTGGAAGAGTCTACTGCCTACTCTCTTCCAAATTGTGTGCAAAGTTCATAAAATGTGTATGTATTAGTAGGCATGTGCCTGGACATGTGAACATGGACCAACGACCAACAGCTTAAATCCTGTACAGTATCTGAAAGACAGCGTGCTATCATTAACTCACACAAGTATTTTAGCCCTCTGGCTGAAACACAAGTAGAGCTAAACTGCTCTCATTGGAATATTATGAATTGTTGCTGTGAGTGCCATTCAGCTTTTTTGTGTAATTTAAATTTTAGCAGTGGCGGTGCCAGCGTCTGAAATCTGGGTGAACAAGTGAGGAGGGAAAAGGTAAAATGTAAGGAGGGGGGGGGGGTAAATACATTGCTTGTATTGATCGTAATAAGCACACTACTGGATAAGCGACTGCCCTGCATCAACTTTACTCGCAATTGATATCCATCATTAGGTTGGGTGGGGAAAACTGGGGGAAAGGGCAGCAATATTTTCTGGAAGAGCGAATTCCCCTTGCCCCTGTAGTGCCACCACTGGTAATTAGCTTTCAACTAAATAAACAAAAGGTTTCCTTGCCAATTATTTGACACCCCATTTCTACATAGTTTCAAAGTAGATGGAAAAAAATGATTTTTCTAACCAAGACAGAAAAAGCATATCCAACGATAAACTCGGGAATGAACGAGATAGATTTCTGAATATTTAAAAACTTGGGAGAAAAAGAGGCGTAACCACCCTTTTTCCCCAGGGTCAGATTAACATAGGGGCTCTTAGGGGCACCACAACCCCGATGGGGAAAGTAGGCCCCCGAACCCCAAGAAAAGTCACCAAAAATCTTGTTTAGCTACAGAGTATTTAGGCCCACTTGCAATTATAGTCCCCACAGCAATTTTATCCGGCCCTGGTCTCCCCAGTTTTTAAATATTCAAAAACAGTTGTACAGTACAACATATCAAAACTTGTTTTTTCCCCCAGAGCCTAGCTTTAATGTAGTGGCTGGCATACATAAAATGGGTTTAAATGGCAGAATGTCAGTAGTAAATCAACAAAAAAATTGAATTGATTTTGATCTGTGTTATTGGTTGGTAACTATATGTGATATTTTAATAGGATCAATTTTGTTTAAAAAAAAAAAGATTGTGAAAAAAAGATTGACCTGTACTTAGTATTCTTGGCTCGAGACCCTTCCCCAACCCTGGTTTATTAAATTAGTTAGATTTGCCTTGAGTGGGTTTGTTGACTTGTAATTAGTAATTTCTTCCATTCCAATTAATGCAATACCACATGCTGTAAACATCAGAATCTGTACTATTGTCAGAACTTTGGAGGATGTTTGAAGTGGTCAGGCCTGCTTATCCAGACAAGTTCAATAACAAAAGCTTTATCATATCAATTGATTTTCCTTTATCTTTGATTTAAAGACTTTTCCATGTAGTTTGTATTAAGTATAAGTTAGTTAAACACACCGCATTTAAGGGTGTGTGATACAAAGGCATACGTTCGAATCTGTCTCTTATACACATCTAGATGTGTATAAGAGACAGCTACTGGATAAGCGACTGCCCTGCATCAACTTTACTCGCGATTGATATCCATCATTAGGTTGTGGGGAAAACTGGGGGAGAGGGCAGGAATATTTTCTGGAAGAGCGATCCCCATGCCCCTGTAGTGCCACCACTGGTAATTAGCTTTCAACTAAATAAACAAAAGGTTTCCTTGCCAATTATTTGACACCCCATTTCTACATAGTTTCAAAATAGAGGGAAAAAAATGTTACAACTGATTTTTCTAACCAAGACAGAAAAAGCATATCCAACAATAAACTCGGGAATGCTTAACGAGATAGATTTCTGAATATTTAAAAACTTGGGAGAAAAAGAGACGTAACCACCCTTTTTCCCCCAAGGTCAGATTAACATAGGGGCTTTTAGGGGCACCACAACCCCGATGGGGCCCCGAACCCCAAGAAAAGTCACCAAAAATCTTGTTTAGCCACAGAGTATTTAGGCCCACTTGCAATTATAACCCCAGTCCCTACAGCCATTTAATCCGGCCCTGGTTTTTAAATATTCAAAACAGTTGTACAGTACAACATATCAAAACTTGTTTTTTCCCCCAGAGCCTAGCTTTAATGTAGTGGCTGGCATACAAATTAAGGGTTTAAATGGCAGAATGTCAGTAGTAAATCAACCAAAAAATTGAATTGATATTGATCTGTGCCATTGGTTGGTAACTATATGTGATATTTTAATAGGATCAATTTTGTTAAAAAAAAAAAGATTGTGAAAAAAAGATTGACCTGTACTTAGTATTCTTGACTCGAGACCCCTCCCCAACCCTTTGTCATCGGGCAAACTTGCTCTTCTCATGATGTGTTTTTATCTGTGGGCTTTGTATTCAAATGTTTATAAATCAATTAAAAAATAAGATCAATTCTATCTTATATTTTGAATGTTTATGGGATTTGTTAATAGATTTTAGTACCAGACAGTAATAATGTGTTTCTTTTACATTTTTGCATATTTGGTCATTTAAAGTATACTGTATTAGTATTTCCTGATTGTTTTTGCTGTGATACTTGTGTTGCAAGTGGAAGCGGTTGGCGCATCGGTTGTGGCTTGGACTCCCAACCTTGAGGTCAGGGGTTCGGAACTCTCACTGTGCAAGTTGCTTGTGTCCTTGGGCAAGGCACTTTATCTACCTTTGTCTCTCTCTACCCAGGAGTATAAATGGGTACCCAGTGGTTTACTACTGGGGAGGAAAAAAGGCGGCGTGGAAAGGAACTGGCCAGCCTACCACACAATACCGAGGCTTAGTACAAAGGGTTCACAGCTCATTCTTCTACGTTCAGTAATGAACACAGGACAACCTTTACCTTACTTGTGTTGCATGCTTATTAAGATGTGCTGAAATCTGTAAAATACTCATATATTCAATTGCTAATAAAAGGATCTCTTCCGGAAAATCTTATCGCATTTTGCTGAGTCCATTGGATAGTTGCCTACATACAGGAAGGCAAAAAAACCGCATGCAAATATTCTTAATTACCTGCGGAATACATTGTTGTTTTCGGCCCTGGGATAAAAAAAAAAAATCTATTTACTTTCCATGAGATGCAGATCAAAACAGTTCAGTTTTCATGGTTTATGCTCTGTCCAGATTTAATAAATTTTCTTTACATGCACATTCATGATGTGCCTATTTATGATCACAAAATATTTATGACCCCTCAAATTACAGGCTACTTTTCTGTTGTCCAAAGTAACAAATTTCTTTAACCCTTTCCAGTCTGCCACATTACCTTTGCCTGAGGCTGTACCAAAGCTGGGAAATTACATCATCTACACTAAATGTCAGGTTTTTACTGGGCGCAGGAATTTTATTTGGTCTAAATACAGGATGCCCTCTACAGAAATACACCTACATCACACTCAAAAAATCCTATAGAGGGCAGCCTAGCCATAAAATAATTATCATGAAAGCTATACAGGGCGTACGTACGACGCCCCTCGCTATAAATTATGGTCGAATAGGGCATCGTCGTGACGCCATACGACTAGAAAGGGTTAATTTTTATTATTTTAATAGACCAAAGTTGGCTAAAGACCATGGAAACCCCAGTCACAAAAGTGTTACTGAACTGCATTCAAATATTGATTTTTAATGTTTTTAAAGTTAGTAAAGCTCAACCCAGTTTATGGGGTCGGGTGGGAAACAGACAATTATATTTTGAATTTGTAGATAAATTGTACATGCTCCCATGTTGAATATTTACAGTAAGTAAGCGTACTATTATTATTTCTTTGTTTTCTAATTGATGAACTGTATGAAAAAAATATACATTAAAATATGTAGGCACTCTTGCTATACCTTTTCTGCAAAATTCATTTATTAATTTCATATAAAATATAATTAGCACAAATCAATATTGCCAGTAAAGTTTATCTAAATCTATTTTTGCCATAAAATATAAATTGCAATTAAATCCAATAATATTGCTGATAGCCTATAAATTATATAAATGTTTAATGGCATTTGTGTACACTATTTCAACAATGTTGCTAGGCCTGATTATTTGAGAACGTTAATAGATAAAACACAAGACAATAGTAGTACAATACATGCAAATGAAATCTGATTACATTGGACATTTTAAGGAATAAAAAAAAGGTACTGTAATTATATAACTATAATATTTAAAAAAAAAACATTCAAAGTAATAAATAATAATATTGTATGTACAAAAAAAAAATTGTTCATAAGCACACTGATATTATCCTGATGATCATTATAACAAGAAGTTAAGAATACTGTATTTGTCCAACAAACAAGCCCTGCAGCTAATTTTATTCTACTTACAAAAGATACAATTTCAATTATATTTACAGTTTCTGTTCTCTAAAGGTAATTATGGACAAAACTTCTGCTTTTGAAAATAAGCAATTAAAGTTGCCTGGAAAAAAATTTATTTGTACAATTGTTGAAACTGAAACTGCGATACATAACTGTCCTTAATTGTGAAACTAAAATTTGAAACAAAAATTCATCTATAAAAAGAGATTTTAAAAATCACTTTTGAGTCATATTTTTCAAGACAAACTTTTACATTTTCCCCCTTTCACAAAAGATTTAGATTTAAACAATAAAAGTTTGAAATTGTTATTTATAATTACAGTAGTACTGCCTAAGTTGAAATTAAGTATTCAACTTTTGAGGATTGTGTAAATATTGGAGTAGACTTTATACTCAGTATTGATTTAACAATTATGGATACAAAATCCTGAATATATACTTTAAGTATCTTTATTTTGAAAAAATACAAATTAAAAGAATAAAAAAATATAGCATGTTGCAGGCAAAGTGGCAAATTGAATAACATTTTAAAATACAGATCTCCTTCCAATTAACGACCCCTTTTGTGATCGGGGTTTCCATGTTCGTTACAGCTTTGGTCTCTATAGAATAATAGAGAAGACATTGCTAATTTGGGACCACAGAAAAGTGGTCTTTAATTGGAGGTGGTCATTAATTGGAGGGGTTTTTAATTATAGATGGAGACCTGTATATAATTATTTTTATCACATCTATTACTCCAAGCCAGTACCTAAATGGGTTGGATGACAAAAAAACAAAAATACTGTAAATCAGACACTCATATTAATAAAATAAAGGTAATTTATATCATAAATTTAATACAATGTATAAATATATACAGTAAATATAAATTATCATCAAATATAGATATTTAAAAAGTAAAAAAAAAAAATTACACTCAGGAACATAAACTTACTATAACAAGTTTAAAAAATAAAAATAGTGTATTAATTTTTTTATAAAAAATATAATTAAATTAATCTTTTTGTATGTTGTTGAATGCAGCGCAACGGCACTTGCAGTTTATGACTTCTCTCAACATACTATCAGACAGTAGATCTCCATTGAAATCAGGGAACTCCTTCTGGGCTTGCATCAAGATAACCTGCAGACGAAAGGGATCCAGAGCATTCTTGAATGTCCGCCGTGATTTCCAGACAACCTCTCCTGCATCTATTCTGGAGCTTGCCAATTCCTCATTCGTGAATAAGGTTGATAAAAGTTTTCTAATAAAGTATGTAACCGACTTGCTTTTGTTCTGAATGTCATGATATACGCTCTTTGGAATTTCCATTTTGTACGGATGGCTTCCAATAATAACCATCTCAATAGAATCTTTATTAAAGTTGTCTGATCTAAAAGCAGAATCCGATGGAGATTCTTGGCAGAATATCTTGTGGTGAGATGGTACAAAATTATTCCCGCTTTTAACATAATTTGGTCCTCCAGTCCTGGAAGAACTTGTAGAAAGGAATGGCATTGGAGGTCTCTTTGTGTTTAGAACTGTAGACAGTGGGCTTGGTTGATAGTACTTAGGATATGAAAGACTATGTTCTTTCAAGAAACCAACTCTGTTCCTCCGAGACTCTGAGAGCTGGCCATTGCCTCTAACAATACCTGGTTTATGGGGTTGAGGTATCTGGTAGTTTTTTCTCTGAATCGTCTGGGTGATGGCTTCACATTCTTTGGATTGCGAACTTACAGCGTCACAAGAAGTTAATTTCTTCCCATCACTTTTGCAGGGATCACTGACTACATTTTGATAATCATGTTCAGTGATAGATGGTCTTTCACCTGGACTGGAGTCTGTGTGATCTGACGGACTTTTTGAAACATCAAGGCATTCTTGAGTTTCAACCTCTCCATCTGACATTTCAAGTTCAATTTCTAAATCCTTATCCATATTTTGAGACAAAGCTTTTTTTTCCATGTTTATCAATTCTGGCTTAGTCGAGTTCAATAATTGGTTGTTCTGAGATGTCATAGTTCTATCAGACTGATGATTTGCATCTGCTGGAGGACCTAAGTGAAATTTACTCTTTGACCTGTCAAAGCTTACACCTCCTATAGTCTGACTTTTATTGCGGAATGGCACAGTTTTTGGTGATGATTTCTGAAAATCCTTTTTACCGTGGACAACAAAGCCCATAGGCCCACTTTTGCTAAAGTTAGAATTGGATGGCATACACCAAATTGAGCCTTTCAATTGATGTTTAGTTTTAGAAGTATCATCAAGAGAGTGACTAGCTTTCGGTAAGTCATTTGGAAAAACAGAACTGCTAAATACAGCAGTTGTACCAGATTTTCTTGTATTTAATTCAGACTGTGAGCTTGATTGATTTCTAACAATAGCCTTAATAATTCCCTTGCTTTCATTTTTGATAGTTTCCTTTACTTCATCTATGATGCATGCAACTGTTTCTGTAACAACATCACCTTTAAAATCTTCCAGTACTTTACGGTTTTCATTTAGCACATCCTTATGAACAGATTGTATTTCACATTTTACTTCTGACAAAATATCACATTGGAGCTTTCTTAACTGAGTTTCAATCGAACGGAACTTGATGTCAACATAATGTTGGAGACACTTGCAACAGCTACTGTGACTATGAGCTGGATTAAGCTTTCGATTCATAGGAGCTGTCGATAGGGAAGGATGCAAATGCTGTTGCTCAGCAGTCCTCCTATTACTGAAGACATTATCAATACTATAGCCCTTACCATCATGGCTTTCCTTAATCCTGGATTGGTCAACTGAGCCTTTTGAAAATATGGGTGCTGTAGTCATCTCTATGTTGTGACCACTTGCAGAATTAGGTATTTTGTTTGACAAATGACTGGTGTTATTAACATTGGTTCTTATTTGAGCATTTGAAAGAGGATCAACATGAATGTAGCGAGGTCTCATTCTTGGAATTTGGACTGGAATATTTAAACTGGATAGTAATCTTGAATCTTTCTGAGTGGTTTCCGAGTCTATCTTCCTCGGTTTTAGATGGTTATGTAATAGAATCGACCTATTTGGTTCAGATGGACCTTGCTGCAGCAGCTCAATCCTGGAACCTGCCTGTCTCGATCTTGAATAAATATTTTCATCATAATGATGCCACTTAAGCACTTGACCACATCTTGAAGGCTCTGATCTGCGTGCCACTTCTGACATCAACTGGAGACCATTTCCAAATGATGGAGCACATGTTGGTAATGATCTTGGTCTCGAAACTTTCAAATTAAAGTGACAACTCGTCAGCTTTGTATCTGACACAACAGTTCCTGGACTGGCAGAACTTTTGCTCTCCTCATCATCAGATTCCTCTAAATCTAAATTTGCAGGCATCATGAAATCTTCTTCATCGGAATCTCCATCTGTTACATTTGAGTAAAAGTCAACATCGTGATTATTGTGGTTGTTGCTCAACTCACTGCCCCAGCATTTGCTAACATCAACATCAGACAACTCCTACAAGTTGAAGAAAGTCGAACAGTCACAGTACGAGCTTGAGCCATTTTTTGTTTTAAAGCGAAAAGCATGAATACTGATATTTTTTGAAAGAAAATAATCTGTGAATATAAACGTTTGCACAAAGAAAAAAAAAGCTATCTAGCAAATAATATAAAGATATGCAAATATAAAAAGCATATATGCTTTGTAAGCATTATTCAACTATTAAATTAATATTAAGTGGCACCCTGAGGCCCTAGATGCAATACACAGATCTATTTATGATGATTTGTGTTCAATATACTGTATGCTGTTGTAAATATTGTAGGATTTAGTATTTTGTATGTCATTTTCTTTTTTTGTATTAAAAAAAAAGATGGCAGTGCCCCTCGTTTCCCCTTCCTAAATCTTCCCCTGCAGCCCTCTCACATAGACCAGTACCAATTTTTCAATACCAAAATTGTAAATTTTCTATTGATACAATTAAACGAAAAACACACAGTACAGATACTATGATTTGTAAACAGCAAATGTACAGTTTCAAACAAAATCAGTGGAATCAATTTGTTTTCTCTTACAATAAACAATATCTAATATAAATTGGACTGAAATTCCATTTAATTAAAAACAAAGATACACCCATGTCCTTTCCTGCCCTCCAGTGGTGAGGGCTACTTATGATGATGACAATTTCTATTTAGCTTCTTGAGATAGGCCCCCAACTTCAAGTCATGTTATTGAAGCCCAACAGTAAGTGAACACAGTTTGCCTTCTGTGAAATGAGCATGATTCAATACACTGAAATAGAACTCGTTAATGGGCCTGGGTCACAGGCACAATGCATTTGGGGGGAGGGGGCGACCTAAGGCCAGAGCAACTGTGATTACAGTATTTATGGTTATATACGTTTTTAACATCAATGAGATGTTATTGTAGTTAATAATTTAGATTTGTTTAATTTGATGCACTCTAGTTTAAGTTTTCATCAGGGCCAGCGACCAGGAATTAAGCACTGTGAGTGTACTGTAGCAGAAATATTTTCTTCATAAAATTTCTGTTAGCTTCAATTTTTGTCCTCAATACCAATTATATGGACCTTCTCGCTATCACCCAGCCCTTGGGTATTGTTGCTATGGCTCATAAAACAACAGCGTAAATATATACAGGCCTACGCAAACATGTGTTTGTGGGGAAACACATGTGTTTGTAGGACACAAGCATATTCCAGGCCCTGTTCTGATTGGTCAGTTGCTAAATTTGATTGACACTTCAGAAAGGTCAATTATCAATAAGCAGAAGCATGTATAATCACATTGGTAGGATTATTGATCGTAGGTGTCTTGATATTTGATATAATTGGGACTAGGAAAACACATTTCTTACGAAATAAAAAATACCAACGTTGTTACGAGTCAGACTGGTGAAGGCATACAAATTTCAACAGCATGTACTAGGGTTTGGAAAACACTACTCAAATAATTAGTGGTAAGCACCGTGCTAGTGTAAGTACCTCTAAAATCAGTGCTGCTCTGAAGCCACGAAAAATTTACCATTTCTGGCACAACACTAAGTATTTTCTTTTTATGGCATAAAATGTACAAAATTGAAAACGTTTACATAGATAATTATTAAAAAACTAAAATTTACCAGCAAAAAAAGGAGCGAGAATGCTAATAATATACAGTTTGCCCTCCAATTTGGGATCTGAAAATTTGTGGTCTCTGGGTTTGGTCTCCATATAGAGGGTTAGCTTATAGTGTTATTAGATTAAAGATGTTATTTGGTTCTTTGAAAAGGCGGTCTCGAATTCAAGAGGTGTCGGATTTAGAGGTCTCAAATTGCAGGCCGTACTGTAATTAATTTTTTGATTAAACTAGCGCATTAATAGTAACTGACCTTTAATCTTGGTGATGTGCTTGCATGACGTACTCTCTTTGATTGTACTGGTGTTGAATTGTTTCCTGATAAACGTCTTTTAGGCGCAGTTGGGCTGTCACCTAAGTAAAAACATGAATACACATCATAAAGAGCTTATAATCAATGCATTAGACACAAGGGTTATGTGGTTCCTCATTGATTAAAGAGTGTACCACACTGAACAAAGGTTTAGTTTAGTAGGCTTAGCGCCAGAACAGTAATCTCATGTCACTGATTTGGTTCTCTAGCACCGCATTCTTTCCCAACCTTATTTACCAAAATATTAATAGTGCTTATGGTAAAATCAGAAAAAAATTAATCCAAAAATTCCATGATTTCTTTATGTATCAAAGGTCAATGAACAAACATACACACATGTCGAATGACCTTGATACGGGCATGCGCAATTCAAACTACGAAATTACTTATTATGCTTTCATGGATTTCTTTTTACTACAAAAATCCTTTGATAGCCAGCAAATTCAAGTCATGTAAAGACAATTAACGATATTAAATACAAATCATGAGAAAAGTATATTTTTCATCCCAATTATTATTCATGGTAAAAGCTCCTATTATGTACTTACATAAATCAAGAAATTCAAATATTCAAATTTACACATTATTTGCTCAACACAAACAGAATTTTAAAGTTATATGAAATTGAAAAGCTAATAAAATGTATAAAAAATTATTGAAAAAAATAAACATAACAAATATGTACTTTCAAAAGACTGGCTTCTTTCCATCTTTCGACGACTGTGCGCTCGAGTCCATTCCTTCTCATATGCTGCTTCTTTGGCCTTCTACATAAAAGAGTAAAAAACAAACCAGATGATAATTATTATAAGTCCATAGCATAAGATAAAAATTCAAAAAATTGAATTTTTTTTTTATTAATGTCATTAGTCTCAAAGTGCTTTTGCTATATTTATCAATAGGAACACTACCTGTAAGGCCGTATTTCACTAGACAAATTTATTCGGGCGAATCTAAAGCGTTGGTTTGCTTCCTGAGCTCTGATTGGTTGCGCATTATTTCGCTTCACAAAAAGTAGAAAAAGTTTGAACTACTGAATTTGTGGCAAAGACAAGCAAAACCAGTCACTCGTCGCAAATCGTGTTTCAGAGAAAATGGCCAAAACCTGCTGGAATGTCAAATTTTAAAAAATCTATTTTATTGCACTAAACTAATCTTTACATATCTATACATCATTCTATGCTGTTATTTTCCGCACTTTCAGTGTTAAAGCAACACTTTTTAAGGATTTGATGATAGTTTCTGCATGAGAAATGCCTGAAATCATAAACTTTGAAGGCTGATTTCTCATATATTGTTCTTTAAACAGCTGTATGCTTAAACGCTTGTAACTTCATAAGGAAATGTCCGATTTGAATGATTTTTTTACCATTTTAAAGCTATTATTTTACTCTCTAACACTGTATTAATAACGAGTGACTGGTGTGGCTTGTCTTTGCCACATTTGCTGAAGTGAAAACTCCCATAGAAATGTGAATGCGCATGATGAAAATTTAAATACTATAATTGATATGAACATGGCGAAAAATTATAGGCAAGCTACGCTCACGCTAGCCATTCACCAATTCGCCAACGGCGAAACCTTTCTCCATTTTGGCGAAAGAAAATTTCACCTAAGCGTGAGCGTGGGCAAGAAATATAATAGATATTGAATTAAAAAAATACCTTCTCTTGAAGGGATGGCGGTATATCCCTAATGTTGATTGCTTGGACGTTTTTCTTGATGCCATCATAGAAGAGAACTTGGTAAGACCCATTGTTGTTTGAAATTATTTTTGCCGGATAAAAACGACAATCGGTCCAGCGTGCCAAAACCTGCTCTCCTGGTTTATATTTCTGCAGTTTATGAAAAAGTATAATTATTAAAAACAAATATATTTCTATAAAAACTGTTTTATATAATTCTCTATGAATAATACAATCAAATGAAATTTGATGATGGTAGGAGTTAACCATAGGGTGGTGTGTATTGACAAATTACAGTTTTGGAACAGTGATTAGCTGGTCAACAGGGATCTGACCCTTTCCAGCAAGGCCGTCGGGGTTTAGCCTAGAAAACGTGGGCAAATTTCAGCCATTTTAAGGTTTTCTAAGACACTTTATTCCACCAATGAGGCAACCTATGACCTCACATTCCAACTACTTTTCAGCTAATTGAACAAATGAGCAGAATAATATTGACTTTTTGGGATTCAAACTAAAAAGAATCGAGCTTGTGAACAACAGCATGAATGCAATTAATGGACTAATCTGGAGCGTTAATCAAACTTAATCGACTAATCAGAACAGGGCCAGGAACATGTCTCAACGTGTTGTCAAGCAAGCATGTTTGCATGTTATTATAGTTGCTTAGCAACAATTCACAAGAGGCGGGACTTATCAAAAAGTTCATTGACTTCAATTTCCGTAGGGTTTCCTGACATTTCTTACCCGAAGCTGACCTTCATTGAAGCTATCTCTTCGATTTGACTGGCGGGGAACTGGTCGCAAACGTTCACTATGAAAATCCAGCCATTCATCATACCGTGCATTCCAGCCCTCAAAATGGATCTGCACTTCCTGGGCATCCCAGTCTACACGTACAATCTTTGCAGCGTACCTAATAAAACCCACAAAAATAAACAGGTGATTATAAAAAAGCAAAAACACTGTCATCGAGGAATATTTTAAACTTTCATTCCAACATTTTTTTGCTATGAAGCATAAAACATCAGGTTGCTGAAGGAGACATAGTACTATGCTAGCTTGGTTTAGTTTAGTTTTTATTTGGAATCACTTTTGTTACAGTGGCATTTATCACATTGATGGTGCATCCGAAGGAAAAAATCAAAACAATCGAAGGAAACTTCGATGAAAAATAACTTAACTATATTAAATTAAACTACTGTTAATAATCATCATCTATAGTAGTATGTTGGAATTGAAGATTCATCACTCACTACACATTAACATAGATGATCAATATATTAATTATTAAAGTAGGAAAATTAATTAATTTTTTTACCAATTATTGAGGTAATCCATGGCCTCAACCTTGATCCCCGGTTCAAAGGTGAATCCGGGTCTTATATTTCGAAACTTTGGCTTTGTTCCAATATGTCCTTCCGCTGGCATATTCGTGCTACGCTCCCTGGCTCTAGCACTGCGTATATTTCGCAGCTTTTCACTACCCGTTTCTGAACATTCGCTTGGCGTCTTCGTACATTCTGATCTCTCCTCCTGCTCCTCACTAATAGACTTGTTAGTATTATTCAAGCAGTCTTCATTGTCTTTGATACTTTTGGTAGTATTGACATTGATGTTAGCTGGGGAGGACTCATTGTGTTCCTCGTGAGTGCATTCAGTTTCCGTGGCAGCGTTCTCTCTATCTTCAGTGTCAATTCCTCTAGCTTCATCATTTACATCTACTTTTTCTTCTTTGATCTTGACGATAGCGAGATCATGTTCCTCTGCTACAATGGAACTTGGATTCTCAGAAGTTTCTGAACAACTCATAGGAACGTTTGTTTCGGTTTCCGACACCTCATCTTCCACATCCTGAGAAAGAGGCGTATCGACCGACGTACCTACAGTAGATGGGGCATCTAAAGATGAAGCATTTCTGGAAACCCGTTCCTCCTCTTGCTTCACTTCTAATGTTCCTTCCTTACTAATAACAGAACCATAATTGTCTGCTTTTCCATGGTCTTCATGCGTTTCTTTCTCTAATCTAAGGTGAGACTCAGTTCCTTGAGGGACAGGACTAGTGCTGACTAAAGCTTGTGTTTCTTCTTCCTCCATTGTTTGTGCATTTGTGTTTGCTTTTGTATGGTTTTTGCCTTTACGATTGTTTTTCCTAGAAAAAAGAAGACCATTAATAAGGTATGTTGTCATAACAAAAGTAGTAAATTTCTTATTACAAGCTTTACAATTGTTTTTCCTAGAAAAAAGAAGACCATAATAAGGTATGTTGTCATAACAAAAGTAATTAAATTTCATATTACAAGTAGGATAAGGATAGAATATAATTAAACCTCCCTACCTCCCCCCTCAAAAAAATATTCTAAATTAAAATACAAATAAGAGATTGTATTACACATTAATTATTCAAATTCAGAAGTGAGCCAAGAGTTAATACCTTGTTTTGCAAACCCACCGCCCACCATTAATAAAGTCTAAAATGTTTTTTAGACTGTAATTAAGCAATGCACCCACCCATTTTTGGCTATTTTACTGTACATCGCACACTATACACAAAAACCCTCAAATCCAAGTTTATGCATGTCAATCAAAATATTTGCGCTCAACATATATATTATATAAAATAAAAATTTGCATGCCTTTGAATATTTGTTGATTGAAAAAAAATAACTGAATGTCGAATCCTGGCCTCAATTTTGGCTTAAGACATGTAGGTCCTTAATAGCCAGCGATGAGTATACATGTCACACATGGTGATGCTGAGGGCGATAGGGATGACTATACTTACTTGTCAAACATCAGGGTAACATTCTAACGTTCATTACTTCATTGATATCTAGACAATAAAGTGCAAATAATGTATGTTTGTTGTGTTAAGTTGCCAGCAGTACAAAAGACTGCAGAAAAGTAAAAGCGCCAAAAGCGGATGAGAAACTTGGTAGATGCAATAAAAAGTAATGTCCCATCGCCAGCAATGAGTTTTACTCATCCCCAAATTATTTTCCAGCCAATTTGACATGGATATTGCTCAACCCCACAAACCTAATAAAAAAAACACCGCAAACCCCATCCAAACCCTGTGATAGTGATTGAATCATGCAGTATAGGACTGAACTTGGTATCTTAGTAAATAAAAATATAATTTTATGCTCATAACAACCTATTTTGTGGTAAAATATTGATTTTTTGTTAGAAATACCTCAAAAAACACAGTGCAAACCCCATACAAACCCTGTGATAGTGATCGAATCATATAGTATAGGACTCACTTGGTATCTTCGTTAAAAAAAATTATAATGTTTCCTTCGTAACAACCTACTTTTTGGGTAAAAATGCCATTTTTTGTATAAAAACAATGCTAAACCCTGCAAACCCCCAAAAATACAGTGCAAACCCCATCCAAACCTTGTGATAGTGATTCAATCATGTAGTAAAGGACTCACTTGGTATCTCAATTAAAAAAAAATCATAATTTTATGTTTATTACAACCTATTTTTGGGGTAAAAAGGCCATTTTTTGTATTAAAAAAATTGCTAAACCCTGCAAACCCCCAAAAACACAGTGCAAACCCCATCCAAACCTTGTGATAGTGATTGAATCATGTAGTATAGGACTCACTTGGTATCTAAGTAAAAAAAAATCATAATTTTATGTTCGTGACAACCTATTTTGGGGTTTGCACTGTGTTTTGGGGGTTTGCGGGGTTTAGAAATTTTTTAATACAAAAATGGTCTTTTTATTTACCCCAAAAATAGGTTGTGACGAACATAGAATTATGATTTTTTTATTGAGAATTTAGCAATTTTTTGTATACAAAAAATGGCCTTTTTACTGACGAACTTAAGGCCAAATAAAAAAATATACTTGTTAAGCGTCACCCCCTCCAAAATTTTCAGGGGCGGGGGGCCCTTTTTTTTTTTCTCCATGATTTATATCTCTGCATGGTAGTCGGTTTCAGTTTATGTCACCGTTTTGGCTTGTACATAAAAGAAAGTCTACAATTGAGTCGGTACATCTTTTTTAAACATTGAGAAACACATTTGATTCATTTATATACGCAGCCCATGAATTGCCACAGCAAAGAATTGCATTTGCAATATTTTTTACTGTATGAAATGGGTGGCAAGCCAAAACTTTGACTGAAACTGGCCTTAGAAACTAAAATTTACGTACGTCGTCAAACCAAGGTACATAACAGATTTGTTTGTACAATATTTATTTTTGGCAAGGCCTAGTCTACGTACGATTGTGTGTGTGAATTGGCTTGACTTTCGACTAGGGGGGCCTAGGTAGGGCTAGCTTTTGGGGTTTGCACTGTGTTTTGGGGGTTTGCGGGGTTTAGAAATTTTTTAATACAAAAATGGCCTTTTTATTTACCCCAAAAATAGGTTGTGACGAACATAGAATTATGATTTTTTTATTGAGGATTTAGCAATTTTTTGTATACAAAAAATGGCCTTTTTACTGACGAACTTAAGGCCGAATAAAAAAATATACTTCTTAAGCGTCACCCCCTCCAAAATTTTCAGGGGCGGGGGGCCCTTTTTTTTTTCTCCATGATTTAAATCTCTGCATGGTAGTCGGTTTCAGTTTATGTCACCGTTTTGGCTTGTACATAAAAGAAAGTCTACAATTGAGTCGGTACATCTTTTTTAAACATTGACAAACACATTTAAGACCATTTATATATGCAGCCCATGAATTGCCACAGACAGCAAAGATTTGCAATTTTTTGAATTTTCAACTGTATGAATGGGTGGCAAGCCAAAACTTTGACTGAAACTGGCCATAACAGAAACTATTTTAAATTAAATTATTTTAAATTTTACGTACGTCGTCAAACCGAGGTATATAACAGATTTGTTTGTACAAGTATATTTTTTTATTTGGCCTAAAATTAGGATTTTTTTTATTGAGATACCAAGTTGAGTCCTATACTATGTGATTCAATCATTATCATAAGGTTTGGATGGGGTTTGCGGTGATTTTTTGGAGGTTTGCCGAGTTTGCAGGGTTTAACAATTATACCCCCATGGGACAATACCAAAGGTCAGGCACTGCAATCTAAGTGTTCAGTTATTATAGTAGTAGTAGGCTGGGTTTGGCTTGGGCCTAGCTAGAGCTACCCTGGCATGTCATATGATAGGGCCTAGCTAGGTAGCCTAGCCTAGCTAGGCCTACCTATAAGGCCTAGCCTGCCCTAGAGTAGAGCATTACTTTTTATATTTATCGTCTTTAAAAATATTTATTGTAGCTTACTAGCTACCACTATATGCCTCAAAGCGGCATAATGATACCTTGTGCGAAAAAAAAAGAACCGATTGCAACCAAAACTTTACACCAACAATGGAGGGACTGAATAAGTTAACTGGCTAACTATTAAGCTGGCTTACCTGGATCACAATACCCAATGATGTATATTGATGGCCTCCTCTCGCGCGTCTCTTTCATCGGAAAGCATGTACTAAACACATCGTGCAGCCCAGCCAACCTACTGTACTTAATTAACAGCCTGGTGGACAATGACTCGTCTATAAAACCTAATACAGCTAGTTTTGATAATTCATCATGATTACCAAAGACATATTTCAAAGTGATTTTAACTTACAATTCAAGTTTCGGTTCCTGTTTCGTTTCTTTGTCGTTTCCATCTTTGACGACAGAGAGCACCACGCGATGTAATATAATTATTTTTTACACTCCCGAGTAGACTCTGTAGTACAGCAGCATCTTAGTTCTCATAAATAGATGGCGGTATGCACTAGTTTATAATAGAGATAACTTCTTTTTTAACTTTACTTTTTTTTTTCTAATACTGTATATATTTGTAATAGTTCTTGCTCTTATCTACCTGATTAACATACCAGCACTTGGGGAAGTAGCAAACAATAATAGAGAACCGAAAACTTCCCAAACAATCAAAAGCTTGTGTGTTTAATGGTTTTACTTTTAGTTGAATGTTTAGTCATTTCCGCATATTTTTAAATAGTTTCGATCCGACATCATATCATAGACCTATTCAATTCTTCTGTTGTTTTCAGTTGAAAGAAAGTGTAGTAAGTGTTTATTTGTAATTCAATTCAATATTTAATCCAAATTATTGGGGCTAAAAACAATTCAATCCTATACAGACACCCTGAGACTGACCCCGTAACGGTATATTATGCACCAAAACGGGTGAGTGAGAGCTTTCTATTGAACCAGGGACTTTTAATTCAACAAGTAATAAATAATGCTCAAAATGCTATTTCATGAGAATTGCAAAGACTACATAGCACTATGCATTCCCTGAAGGTAGACAGATCCTGAAGAGTACAGAGGTCTACATAGTTTATATATATAGCCTATATATACATATACAT